GGGGTATAAATCAAGCGAATTTCTTCCCATATGGCTATCTGGTTGTTTGAATCCTATTCACCGACTATACGTATCTACTTTGACATTCACCCAGCTGACAGTTCATATTTATGACCTTAGTAACAAGCCGACTCTCCGACTCTTGTGAGCATGAATGATCTACGTCCGTCCAATAATGAAGTCTGAAGTGGGAGGTGCGGGTGATGCTGGCGGTGATGTGGTTGGCCATGATTCTCAGCGCTTTGGCAGTGGCAGTCATGGAAAGATGGACACTGACAGTTATGCAATGATATAGTCTTCCATTTTTGGATAAAGCTGATTTTTATTGCATAACAATCTGATCTTTGGCACTTAACCATGTTGATAAGGGAAGAGTAGGTGTATTTGGGAACATAAATTTTAACTTGTCTGTATTTTAAATGCGCTATCTCATTGTTTGAGAAAGAAATCTTTTTAGGGGTATATGCATAGTAAGTAATCTAACTTTGCCCAAAGAGAGGCAAATACCTCCCATCTAACTCCGGGGAAGTATGCTGTAAATATTTGGAAAGTCTCATTGGATAAGAGTACCTGCGTTTATCTGGACCATGTTTACACATGTCAGATAGTAGAACAATGCATAGTGAGGCTCTCTGTGTCTTATAAAGCTCAGCCTCCAGAGAGATTAGAGAAACAAGGTCAGTCACTACCATGTCTGCGTGATACAGTCCCAATAAACTTGGAACATGAAGGCTCATGTATACATATTGTCACACATCATTACCAACAAGGGTGAGCACTGTCCACAATGCTCCTGGGGCTTTCAGCCTAGACTTGTGTGGCCCAGAAAGATTTCCAGAGATGAGAGCACTGAACTGAGATCTGAAGGATACGGGATATTAGCCAAGCAAAGCTCAGAAGGATGACCCAAGCAAGGAATTAACATGTGCAAACACCTTAAAGGACATGGCATTAAGAAAAATAAATACAAACATTGCATCTTTGAAAGACAGAGAAGTTCAGTATGGGGGAATTAAGGCACCAGTAGTAAAGGATCGCAGAAGGGGCCAAAGGCCAGACTGAGGAGTCTTCTAAACCATCTTAAGTGGATGACATCACCATGCATGCTGTTGGGCAAGACAGACATTTGAGCAATCTCCCTCTCTCTCATGCACTGTTCACGGATTTTTCCTTTTCAATGTCTCTCAAATTATCCATTCATCTCCATCCCTGTTGCTATGAGCTTCATCCTAAAAACAGTAGGCGTCCATTGACAGGTTTTAATCAGAGTTGTAATAGCATCAGATTAAAGTTTTAGGAGGATCCCTTTGGTCACAGGAAGAATGGATTAAAGAGACTGAGCATCAGAGAAGCACAATGATTCAGAAATTATTGGAAAACTTTTTGGAAGGGTGAGTGCATGGGTAGTGGCAATGGGCGTGGAGAGGAATGAATAGACGTGAGGGACATTTTTAATGTATCTTAGGCTGGGTTCTTTAGAAACCAAAACCAGTGAAGCACATGCACTTAGATTTATAGTGTGTGCACATATATGTGTGTATATATATGTTTGGTGTAGAGCGAGTGGGAAACATTCATATATGATGGGGTTCCAAAAGTGTGTGGAAAATTCCATTATATTTTATTTTTTCCTGACAAATATTTTAATGCCAAAATGTTTACTTAAAAATAGCCAGAGCTGCACATCTCTTTTAAATATCTCTAAACCATTGAATTGTATGTTACACAAATTATATACCACTAAAACAAAACAAAAAAAAGTTTAAAACACTCACAAAAAGCAATTTTCTCTCTTCCACGCTGTTAATAAAGGCCTCACATGAAGACGCCCAGCTTTCACCAATCCCCTGGGCCATGTTCTCCGTGTCTTCTTTACATGGTAACTTGCTAACAGTCCCCAACCGTGCAGTGCCCCTCCAGTGCCTGCCAACCACCAGCAGGCAGTAAAACTGCCCAACAAGACCATTACATTCATTCTGCCAACCATCTAACAAATTGTATAACAGATGTAACGCAGGTAACCTGACCACCAAGGTCACTGGCCATTTTTGGAAAATATGATTTTTACCTTAGGGAGTGAAGATGGG